CTCCTCGCCCTCCCCGGCCGCCGCGAAGCCGTTCGGGGCCAAGCCCTTGGCCTTCTGGAGCAAGTTCGACGTGGCCGACTGGCTCGAGTCCCTCAACCTGGGCGAGCACCGCGCGCGCTTCCTGCACAACGAGATCGACGGCTCGCACCTGCCCGCGCTCACCAAGGAGGACTACATCGACCTGGGGGTCACCCGCGTGGGCCACCGCATGAACATCGACCGCGCCCTGCGCCTCTTCCTCCAGAGGTGACCGGGGCCGCCCGCGGGGACACCCCCACAACACCCCGACCCCGACAGCGCGGGGACCCCCAAACCCGACAGCGCGGCACCTGCGGGGGCATCTCCCGACCCCGAGAGCGCGGGGACCCCCAAACCCGACAGCGCGGCACCTGCGGGGGCATCTCCCGACCCCGAGAGCGCGGCACGCGCGGGGACACCCCCCAACCCCGAAATCGCGGCACCGGCGGGTACACCCCCAAACCCCGACCCCGAGAGCGCGGCACGCGCGGGGACACCCGCGGGAGCCCCCGACAACGCGGCATCTGCGCGGGGAACCCCCGACCCCGACCCCGAGAGCGCGGCACACGCGGGGACACCTCCCGAGAGCGCGGCACACGCGGGGACACCTCCCCGGGGAGGAGGAGGAGGAGGAAGGGCGGGGGGAGCCGAGCGGCAACGCGGGGTCGTGGTGCGGGGCAGGGGCGGCGGCGGAGCAGGAGGAGGAGGAGGAGAGAGGGGGAAGGTGGCGGCGGCAGCGCCGTGGGACGTGGGTGCGCGGCGGGACCTGAGTCTGCAACGGGAGCTGAGTGTGCGGCGGGACATGGACATGGGTGTGCGGCGGGACCTGAGTCTTCAGCGGGACCTGAGTCTGCAACAGGACACGGGCACGGGTGTGCGGCGGGACCTGAGCGTGCGGCGGGAGCTGAGTGTGCAACAGGACATGGACTTGGGTGTGCGGCGGGACCTGAGCTTGCAACGGGAGCTGAGCTTGCGACAGGACGCGGACCTGAGCGTGCAACGGGAGCTGAGTGTGCATCGGGATGTGGATCTGGTCATGGGACAAGACCTGAGCGTGCAACGGGACGTGGACGTGAGCACGGGACAGGAGCTGAGCGTGCGACCGGAGCTGAGCGAGCAACGGGACGTGGACACGATGGTGCAATGGGAGCCACACCTGCAACCGGAGCTGAGTGTGCAACAAGAGCTGAGTGTGCACCGGGACATGGACCTGGGTGTGCACCGGGACGTGGATCTGATCATGGGACAAGACCTGAGTGTGCAACGGGAGCTGAGGGTGCACCGGGACACGGGCACGGGTGTGCAAAGGCAGCTGAGCGTCCAGTGGGAGCCACACGTGGCACGGGACACGGGCACGAGTGTGCGGAGGAGAATGAGCGAGCAACAGGAGCTGAGTGTGCAGCGGGACCTGCAACGGCAGCTGAGCGTGCAGTGGGAGCCACGTGTGCCACGGGACACGGACACGGGTGTGCCACAACAGCTGAGTGTGCAGTGGGAGCCACGTGTGCCACGGGACACGGACACGGGTGTGCAACAACAGCTGAG